CAAACACAAGGTTGCAAACCTGCAGGTAACCAAACTGCCCTCTGTGTTAAAAGTATGTGAGACTTTAGTGTTGCCATCTTCTTTCATGTCTTTACCGTGTTCATTTTCAGCAAGTTCTTCTTCATCTTTGAAAGCTTCAGTGGCTTTTGTGGCCAGTTGCAGAATTTCTCCTGGTTTGACAGGATGCTCTTTGTTCTTCAAACAGTTCTTCTAGACTTGACCCAGTGTATCAGCAACAAATGAATTTTGGGGATCTCTTTCCTTTGCTCTCTTTGCCCACATTTCTGCCTTTTTGTAGTCTTTTATTATATATAATAGAAACAAGCAAGTGCCTGAGGATAAAATGGATTTTGATCAAATTGTTTTGTTGCCACCTTTAAAACTGATGCACACTGAGCCTTGTCCTCCATCTTTTGAATGTCAAGAATTAGTTTAGAAAACTTTCTTTGCACTCTTCACTCTCTGTACTTTGGTTGGGTCCTCTTCATTTTCATTTCTTTTGGTTTCTTTGGTTAACATGTCTTTGACAAAACCAAGCAAAGATACCAGGTACCAGTAAAGTTATTGAATATTAAAATTCCCCAATTATGCAAAACAATTTCTACAAACTAGTGTTGTAGTATCACAAAGGATATCAATGATTTGTGGGGTGATTTTGAGACACTAAAACTCTTGAAAGTGAAGTTATTGAATATTGAAAATAGACCTACTAATATGAGGTATGCAAAGTCTTACCCTAAACAAAGTGTGTAGTATAACCAGCAGTATATCATTAATGTGTAAGGTGATTTTGGGGGCACTATATTGTAAGTGTGAAGTTATTGAATATATGCAGAATGTGTTTCGGTGTTGCACTTTGTAGACGGTCCCTGCGCACTCGTCTCACAGCCGGCTGCACGTAGAGACCAATGTCATTTGGTCTGCTCCTAGGAAGACTCATTTATGTGAAAATGTACTTGTAGCTCGTTGTCTACTTAACTACGATAATAAAGAGGCGTCGTTAGTGTTTTAAGCACGTTTTGCTTACGAGTTATTGATCCCGGAAGCTCAAATCTGTGAATCTATTTCCAACTTTTCTGAACTCAGTAATAAATGTCACCTTTCCAGTCATCTCTAATTACGAGATCTTTTCTCATAATTACGAGATCCGGATCTCATAATTACGACATCTTATCTCGTTATTATGACATCTTTTCTCGTAATTATGACATCTTTTCTCATAATTACGAGATCCTGATCTCTTATGAGATAAGGCTTCCAATTTTGTTTTTCTTTGGTGAATGCAATGCGCTTCCTTAGGGTGCCACAGCCCATGCAAAAGACACAAAAGACTGAACACGCCTGCATGTGTGCTGACTCAGCAGGGAGTTTTACAAAATTAGAAAAGTTAATCTACAGGCGATTGTTCACTTGGGTCTACTAAACTAGCAGTAATAAAGTTAAAAACAAAGTTTGGTTATTGTTGTATTAGTTGACTCTGTAGAAACGGAACGTTTTCTCTCTCACACGCAGACAGTGACCCACGCCGACCCGAAGAAAATGTATTGCGCGAGGCAGCCTTAATTTAGGCCTATAGAGGTTTGTAGGCTATATGATGTAGCCTATGATGTAAAGCCTTGCTGTCCCAAACTGCCATTGATATGTGATGTAGTTTGGTGACCCACCGCACTGTATGAGGGAAGTTAGCCGCTACCGGCAATAAGATGGACTTATAGGCCTATAGGTAAATGGTTACAATAATTTTAAATTAAATTTACTAAATAATTAAAACCGACCTTAACTTTATCTTCAAACTGTAGAGCTGTTCCCCATAGCGTGGTGTGATTCCTCAGCAGGATTTTTCCCCATCTGCATTTCCACAAATCCCACCAGCTTTGTGTCAAATCCTCATCCCCTACTCGGTCTCAGAGTCCTTCTTCTTCTTGCGACAGGGCTGAGCATTATCGCCAACTGTCATGAAGAAGAGATGCTTTGTGAAAAGTTGTTTTTGGGTCCATGTGTCTAAACCCTCTAAAATTTCAGTCCGTTCATGTGCATATTTTGAACAGAGAAGAATTAGGCATGATGGACAAGTTTGATCAAAATGCCTTCCTTCCACATTCACCACTGGGGAGAAAAAAATATTTTTTCCCATCTAACTGTCAGGGGTTGTTGAGTGCAGCGGCAGGAAACAGAGTGGACCCAAATGCAGACAGAGGCGAGGGTATTGCAGTCCAACAAAGATTTATTAACCACGTAAAGTAGGCTTATACTGGGAGCTCAGTGGCAACTGTCCAAGCACAGCTGAAATACATCAGGTAATCAACAACAGGAACAAAGCTCCACAAGAACACAAGGCACAAAAAAATACAAAATAAAACAGGAAGTAAAGTACTCGGGAACACACGAAGACAGATCTATCTAAGTAAAACACAAAACATGGAAAGATTGCAAAATCAGGGCATGGACAGAGACCAGACCAAACAGGAGACATAAGACTAAGGACTAAGACACAGACCAAAATAATAAAACATAGAAGTACACAGACCAGGAACTAAACATGAATTAAAGCACAACTAAAAAACAGGACTAAGAGCTAAGATAAGAGACAAGACAGATACTAAGAAACTTAAACATGCGAATGAACAAAAGACTAGATTAAACTACAACATTTACAAGATCAAATAAAGCTTGCAGAACACAGAACACAAAACCAAACCTATGAAAACAGACTAAACAGGAAAAATATGAAGACACAGCCAAATCCTAACACTAGCAGCCTATAGCCTATTCTTTCTTTCATCATCTTTTCCATGATCTTGCATGAGGTGCTATTATCTGGACAGTCAATCCTAGTAAATTTTATTCCAGCAAAGTGGACTTCTCTCATCATCATTCTACTTTGAAGTTTATTTTCTTTCTTTTTCTCTGATTTTTTTGCTGCTGCTGCTTCCAAACTCATCAAACTTTTCACCAAACCCTCATACTTACATACTATTTAAAGCAATATCAAACAACTAATATCTTAAAATAACAGCTTTAAAATCATTTTGATTGTACAGTGACTTGTAATAGAGAGAATGGTGCGTCTTTCATTCCCACTCTGACCCTCCAAATTGCCTATTCTTGCACAATGTAACTTGGATTGAGCGAGTAGCCTACCATACTCTGCTAGAAGTGCATAATACTTTACCACACTACATCGCACATGGGTCTTGCTTATTCTCAGTACAGACATCATCTTAAATTAGTATGTAATTTTACCTTGCTATGCAATATAATAACACACTTTTAGTGGCACTCTTAGCCGCCGTAAGGGACTAAACACTTACAGAAGAAAAATACGGCCATACGCTAAAACTCAGTTCCTCTCAAAGATCCAAGTTCAATAATTAATTCTTCCACTTAATCAGACTAAACCAAAAAATTACCGTGTAAGGGAAGATGTGTGAGAACGGTCAACAGAAAGTGTTCACTCCCAGGCTCTCCCCCTCTGTCTGTGAAACTCAAAATAAATAAATTACACATCACATCCGCCTGACCGCCCATTACCTACATCAGTGCAGTTGATACTATGAATATGAGACGAAAAACACAACACACAGGAGACCTCCTACAACACTTATATTTAACTGGAGTATATTATTGTTGCAGGAATAAAACTTGATAAAATGTTTAAAAAAAAAAATTACAAGACATCTCTAGGAGAATACAAATCTCAGGAAATGTTGCATTTATAGATGTTCACAATCGTAAATTGCTGATCAGTTTGGCTGATGAGAACTTAAAAATAGTAGGCCTAAATAGACAGTCTTATTCTTGTCTGTCTATATGCTACTTCCCATAAAGGTGTGCTCATTGAATGGGCTCTCGGCCTCCCCCATACAATAACATTCCTAGACGTGTATACTCTCTGATACACCTAGGGCAAGATGAGCTTTGCTCTCTTAGCACATGAATAAGCCCAATTTCTGAATATACACACATACATATACATATTCTTGTATTAAAACCTTTATTATAATAATGTATACAGTTAGAGGAATTCCTATGAGAATTAAGGTATTCATGTAATTATGGTGTACACATGATGTCAACTGCTGCAATGAATTAATTACAGGTAGAGCTGGACAGGGAAACAATGGTGTCAAAAGAAAATAGAGAAAGTTTAGGAAAGGAGAACCTTGCAATAAAGCCCATAAAAGGAGGAGCAAAAGAGGTGTATAAAAGTGAGCCTGATCAGTTGCTCCCTGGAACCATCTCAGATTTACAGATTGTTTTTTTTTAATTTATGTATTATACTTTTGATATTACATTAAAACCTACATCATATTTAAGCTTCTCATTTGTTTGTGCTACTTTATGACATAAGTGAACAGAGTGGTAGGGGACCTAACATCTAGCCCAGAGGAGGTTTTCTCCCAAAGTAAAATAAAAGTAAAAGAAAAATATCAATGTCAATATAAAAATAATTCCACCTGTTTTTATTTTAATTAAAACTCAACTTGCTTTGATGAATCCATGTCACATTATTCTGGTCTTAACATTTAGTTGAAGGGACCCTGAGTTTTTGATTGTACAAATACAACAAAACAACAAAATAAAACTTAAAACAATTCATCATACATGTCTTACATTTTCAAATCCTGAAGTCAAGCACATTACAGCAAAACTACAAGTCAACATCAAGACATGTGGTTTTCCTTACAAACTAAATCTACACTCAAAATCTTTGTAACTGTCCCATACAATTTAAACATTTTAAAAACACAAGTGTGTCCTTTACATTGGTTTTGCTTGACCCATCGTGCTTAATGTAAAACATTTAGAAGAAAACAATGACATATCAAAAGACATGTATTAAAAAGTGTATTTATTTCCCACTGAGAATGCACATTTCTTTAGTCTTAAGAGGTTTCATATTTTCGTGTTTCATAAACCCATAAAAAATGTTCAGAGCTTACAGTGGTTTCCCTAATGAAGTCACTCTTTTACTCTGACGTGTGTGTTGTGCAATATAAATGAAAAGCATTCCTTTTCACTTTGCTGTTTGACCAGTTTGACCAGAGGATGCAAATCATTTGCAGGATAACATTTTGTCTAACTCTCCAGTCCACTTACTCAGTGTTTATAAGTATATAAATATTAAATGAAACCTCTTTCTTTATAGTTAAATCACAATATATTTTATGTCAGAATATACACTAAGCTTCTTGTTGTCCTCTCCTGTGCCATCATTAAATTTCACATTCAGTTTGTTTTTTGTCATCTAAGCGACAAATGTCCACTTACTGTCCGAAGCTACAACCAGATTCAGATTCCTCAAGCTCAAGGATGAGAGCCCTCAAACTTCTCATCCCTTTAAGGATTTTATAGAGAGCGTCTTTGGCTTTTGCTGTAGTCAGAAACTTAAGAATGTCCCTCATCTGGTCTTGTGTGGTTTCTTTAGCTCTTACAGCATCATAGTTCTCATTTGAGATCAGCCCCCTTTCAATGAGCTTATCCAGGACGGCTCCGATGTCGCTCACTCTGTTAATGAGAGCTGTCCGATGGCGATCCACAAAATGCTGACCTGAGGATGACATGGAAGATAAAAACAAAGCAAACACACAGTGAATACCAGATGTTCAAATGGTCATAAGTGGAAATTCTAAGCAGAGGGTAGCAATGGGGTTTAAAATCACTATGTGAGGTCATCTTATAATTTCTGACTCTTATTCTTGCATATTAAACGTGTTTTCTTACCATCTTCATGATCAGTGCTTTGAGTTTTGTAGTCTCCTGCAATAAAATACGGATCACAATTAGTTACTGGATATAGCTTATGTCTATCTTTTACATTAAAGCTCGAGTCATCTGCTTTGCTGAACTGTACACATTTAGCTAAACAGAAGAAAGGGTGTACATAATATAGTGGGTGCACAATTTCTTTTTTAATTCCTCAAAAAGAAACCACTCACCTCTTCGAACAGTGCAGGCCCAGACAGTGTCCTCTTTACTATTTCTCCTTTGTTCACTTTCAAGTTTCAGGTCAAAATCACTGTCTGCATTTCGGATACACACCTCAGAGAAAATTGGGTTTCTCCTCTCACATGTGAGCTTTAATGTCTGTAGATGAAATATTGTTTTAAGGGCATTTGATTTTATTCCTGTTCTTGTTTCGGTTTCAGTTGTAACAGTACATGCTTTTATGTTTTTAAAGTGGGAAAAAAATATCCTGTGTATAGGGTTGTGGGGGGCTGGAGCCAATCGCAGCTTGGTCAAACACACTAATTTTAAATAATTTATTCAGATCTTTGATATTTGTTAAAATGATCCCAATTATTAAAACGGTTAAAACCTCACTTCAGGATGAATTGTAGCTGTGTCCGTATCTGTTGTGAGAAAGAAATTATCCAGCATCTGAAGAGACTTCTCTGGGCTTGGTTTTAGGATTATTATTGATCCATAAGATGTCTCCTTCCTCTCCACTTTCTGTGAATAAAAGTAGAAGCCCTTAGTAGCCAACACTGATATATATTTTTGAAATACAATCATAATGGTTTTGGTGTGTCTTTACAATTCTCCAACATTTCCAGCTGCGTAGTTGTAACTTCTTGCAATAGTTTGTATTAACTATTGTGAAAAAAATGAAACAATAACCTGTTGTATATACTGATCAGGTGGGACCAGGTAAACATGCAGTGTGAGGAATTCCTTTTTTGTCTTGTATATTAACACGTCACAGTAAACCTTTACTGGGAAGCCGAGTTTCATCATGACCCCCCTTGGAGAGAAAGTTGTCTGGCGTAACTTGACGTGGGACGATGTCACATCAGACACTTGTTCCACAATATCACCACAGGTATCCACGTGTAGAACTGCAAACATGTCTGACGTTGTAGTGTTGTGATCTGAAAAAAACAAAACAAAAACAGTATTTTGTGAGGAGAAATACATACAAAGGATTAAACTGTTTTCATCATACATTTATGTTCACCTACCTATCCAGTGTGGCAGATGCAACTCCTCAAAGTTCCCAGCTGTGACTTTGATGTCCAGTAGGGGTCCTGCTGGCATGTAATCCATGCATGAAGGCTTCTCTCTTTGTTCATCCCATGAACAAAACTGATACTTGAAGCTGGCCTTGTCCTTACAAACCCAGCGCAGGGCAGACACACTGCATTCATACTGACCTGCCTCGGACTGTAGGCTAAGGAGCAAAAGGGAAAACAAATGGATTTGAATCTACGATGGACTGAAATATTGAATTAAAGGGAACGCTACACATTTTTTATGTAGTCTATGTAAAGCATTACTGCAGTGACATCTAGGGGTTGAAAGTGTGTTGCACACCAAACCTTAGTTCGGTGTGGTTGTACCATACCAAATGTGAAGTATTCCAGTACTACACAGGGTGTGGGTGTGCAGAGCATGCAGCTAGCACAGCCATTTAGATTTGTTTATCTTAGGTGTCAATAGCGGGGCCCACACTCACCATAAATGCCATTGTTTTCTTTATACCACTTTTCTTTCTTTTTTTTCCTGCTGTGGGGTATGCATGTTTTGCTTTGCTTTGCTGTTATGGTTCTTTAGTGCTGTGACATAGTAAAATGTAATCTTTACCTATAAATCTGAACCTCATCCACTTTTTTGATTTTGGGTTCAAGTTTAGTCCAATCACTGGAGTCCTGTAACAGAAAGCAAACATTTTGTTGTAAATAGTTTTATAATAATAACGGTTAGATCAGTTGCAAAGCAAACAGAATAACTTACCGCAACACCACCACATGATCCTAGCCTCAAGATTCCCAAAGGCCCTTGTTAAGACACATTGGTAAACAGTAAAATCATTACTTTTGAACATTCTCTGGTACCACTGTCACCACTTCAATGTGATGTACTTTATGCAAATCGACATATTTTCATAGTCAATGACGCTGATTACGTAGATGAATTGCCCCACTCCTAGTTGCCTGTTTTGGATGTCTAGGGTCCAAACTCAAAAGTCCCTGCAAAAGTGTTGGAACAGTGAGGCAAATTCCTTTGTTTTTGTTCAAAAGGTGAGTATGAGACCAGAGTTCACAATTTCATCTCTCATTTCCTGATATTCATAGCTAGATATGTTAAACAAATCAGGACATACCACCCTTTGTTTGAACCCACTCATTTTGCAAGTGAGCAAAACTATTGGAACATATGACTGACAGATTTTTCTTGTTGCCCAGGTGTTGCCTTTTAGGTTGATTGTCCAAACTTAGAACATGACTAGTCTAAGTTTCCATCCTTGGTTCAAACCTATAAAGACTGCATTTCCTGTTAAAGAGGATAAACCAACATGAACACCAGAGAGCTGTCTGTGGGAGAAAAGCAAGCCATTGTCAAGCTGAGAAAAGAAGGAAAATCGACAAGAGCCAGTGGACAAACGTTGGGCGTAAGAAGCACAACAATTTGCTCACGTCCTGAAAAAGAAAGAAACTACTGGTGTACTGAGCAACAGACGTCGAACAGGTCGGCAAAGGAAAACAACAGTAGTTGATGACAGAAATATTGTGAGAGCTGTGAAGAAAACCCCCAAAACATCAGTAAGTGACATCACCAACGACCTCCACACTGTTCGAAGAAGACTCAGAGCAGAAATATAGATCAATAGATTTTTGGGTTAAATAGGTGAAAAGGCTGTTGCAATAATCCAGGCGTGATGAGATGAAGGCATGTAAAATGGTCTCGGTGTCCTTAAAAGTTAACATAGATCGAATTTTTGCTATATTTCTAAGTTGATTGAACAAGCTTTGTGGTGTGCTGCTCGAAATTTAAATTACCATCAAACCAAACACCAAGGTTCTTTGCCACAGGCTAAATGTGATTTACTAGCGAACCAGCAGATGGCAGTATTTGATTTGCCATCTGCTGAGACCCGATGACCAGGATTTCTGTTTTGTCTGAGTTCAGCTGGAGGAAATTATTTGACATCCATTTTTTAACTTCACAAAGGCAGTTGTTTGAACTCAGCATTCCAGGATCTGTGGATCTGACGGGCAAGTATATTTGTGTGTCATCAGCATAAATATGAAAAGAAATGCCATGTTTATGGATAATATGTCCAAGGAGAAGCAGATACAAGGAAAACAAAATGGGTCCTAAGACCGACCCCTGAGGCACACCATATTTAACTGGACAGAACGAGGAGACATAGTTGTTTACAGACACGCAAAACTTATTAACCTATTTGACAGGTAGGATGAAAGCCATTCTAGGGCAGTACCAGAGATCCCCACCCAGTGCCTCAGTCTGTCTAACATGATGTTGTGATCAATGGTGTCAAAAGCAGCGCTAAGGGCCAGGAGTACCAGGACTGAGAACACACCTTCATCAGTATTAAAAGGTCATTGGTGACTTTAAGCAGGGCAGTCACAGTGCTGTGGTACTTCCTGAAACCAGATTATAACTTTTCAAATAATGTGTTATTTTCCAGTACAGTAAGCAGCTGTTTGGACACAATTCTTTCTAAAATCTTTACAATAAAAGGCAGTTTTGAAATTGGTCTAAAATTTTGTGGGAGGGAGGGATCTAAACCAGGTTTCTTTAAAAGTGGGTTCACGCAAGCCATTTTAAAATAATCAGGGACACAACCAGTAGATAGGGAGCTGTTGAAAACAGAGATCAAATGGGGCCCAACAAAATCCATTACTTTCACTAAAAACTTTGTAGGTATTACATCAAGTGGGCTGGAGGACACTCATTTGTGGTACTGTTTTTAAAAGCTCAGACAAGTCGATGGGATAAAACTGGTTAAAAGTACCTTTTTACTTTACACAAACTTTAGTGCAATGGAGCAATGTGCCACAACAACCACACTAGCACATTAATCCATGGGACTGTGTTGTCAACAATGTCCTTTTTCTTCTGTGTTTATATTTTCTTCTTGTGAAGTACAACATGTCAATACTTCTCAGGTTCTTGTTGATGTGTTTTGTGATGTGTGATTCCTTTTGTGATGTTTTTTGTGAAGCAACTCTGCACAGTGCCCAAGCGGAATTTCCCCTTGGGGACAATAAAGTTAACCTAACCCAACCTAACCTAACAAGACGGGGGGTTGAGATATCGAGCCTCAACAGACAGCTGAAGTAGCCCAAAGGAGGGGGTGAAAGGTTTGCTTCACTCACAAGTGCTGTTTGGGCAGTTTTGACCATAACACCTACCACCTCCGGTGAAGTTGAGATAACAGACTATGCATGACTATTAAAATGACAATATTTACCTTGTCCAGAGACTAACCTCAACCTGAACCAGGCTGTGAGGACCTCAGTGACCATAAACTAAACAAACTCTGACTGCATCACACATCCAACACACACAAAGGCTGCCCTCCCATTTTCACGCTGAAACTGATAAGAAAAGCTAGTTACCTCGAAACATCAAAGAACCCTCTCACTATTCACACCCAGTTGTGAAACTAGTGAGGAAAGCCAGATGCCAGGAAAGGAACAGCCTCAAATTCCTTTGTAGACAAATAAATGTGGTCTCCTCATAAACCTTATTATTACCTTGTTTGAATTAAATGATCTGTAAGTTACTTAGTGGCCTGACACTTATATTTGAGTATTTCTATTACCGTGTTCTTGTTAGAAACTGTGTTGAAAAGAAGAAACCATAAATAAGTTAATTTTGCAGTGCTCTTTAATCTTCAATGCTCACCGTTATTCCTGCATTTAATTTAAGTTGTAACTAATGCTTTGTTCCAAGCACCTTTATATACTTTCTTTATAAATGATATGGTACACAAATATTGTCATGTTTTAAATAACCATCTTTTGCTCCTGACCCAAAGATTGAGATAACTATAAGTAGATAGGTCAGAGGATTCCCAGGTCCTCTCATGGAACCAGTGTCCCCCCCAGCGGACAAAAGAAGTATTGCATGCCATTGTTAACTGCCTCTCCTTGTGCCTAATTTACATTACTCTGTGTTTTACTGTTTGTAATATGATCCCATGTTCTTATAACTTTCTTATATATTTTCTTATAGTAAGAATGTTTAACAATCAGTATTCTCCTGGATGTTAAGTTTAGTTAAGATGCTCCTTCATCTGAATGAAATGTTTTTTCTTAACTGGTAAATATCATAATTGTTATGTACAATTTACTATTTTACACGACAGGTTAAAGTGGAGGACACACGTTTCACAAGGACAAAATCTAAATATTTCACCTACATTCTAGTATGAACTATGTTGACCGTACAAATCTACAACAATAACCTTTGTAGATTAAAACAAACAAACATTATTGCTTCTTGTGTTACGAATATCATTTTAATTAGAGGCCACCTGTTCTTTCCTTAAAATGTTCCTCTAATTGTTTTGGTCACAAGTGGACAGACAAGATGATGTTGTGACAGGTAGAGTACTGTGGGGGTTCATCAGATTTTTTTGGTTGTAAAGTGCTGCTTAAGACTTAATTATGCTGTAAATGTGCCTGAAAACCTAAATGATGATGTAATAGAGGCACAACATCTTTGTAGAATTGCAGAGTTGGATTATTTTAAGTTTTGGCACTATTATGAATCCCTTTTGTCTTCCTGTACATTCGCATTAGTCTCAATGTTAAACTACTGAGTAGAGATCACCTGTGAGCTTAAATAATAACATAAAAAGAAAAAAGTTTCAGAAAGACCGAGTGATACCGGAATTCCAATATATTGATTGATTTTGAATTGTAATCAAGTTACGAACCGAGTGGGACTAAACTTCTCTGGTGGTCAAACGATGCAATGCGGACACTGTTTTCCTAAATGACCTCAAACATATCTTTTTATGTTTGAGGTCAAACATAAAAGGCATTTCTGTTTGTTTTTTTTGGCATTTCTTTTTTATCAGCTGTCATACTAATATATATATATATATATATATATATATATATATGTATATATAATGTGTGTGTTTCAATTTTTCCATTTCCCATGACGTTCTGTTACTGAAATTTCCAAAAAATACATTTAATTCTTACTGTACTTACCTCCAGTGATATCTGTCCAGGCAGACAGTTCTGGTTTTATTTGCTCAGAGTTTGAGATACTACCGCCACGTAGCTCCAATGCCTTTACTGCCACAAAGTACAATGGAATGGGATATCATTAGTCAAGACTATTTTATTTGTAAAGCACATTTCATATACAGGTAAACTCCTGATAATCCACGGGCCTT